CCTTAAAGCAGTAATTCAGATTGGAAATTAAAGTTGTGCTGAAAATGGATTATACTCATATATACTGAACATTCAGGTATTTCTGGCAGAAAAATAGCATATGAATACTGAATGAAATGCTGAATGACAGATATTCATTAGAAGGTCGGCATTTTTATATTTCCTGTAAGAATATCTACTTTGCTGAACAAGATAGCTAGAAATCACATACAATACCTAACTTGTAAGAACTTATACCAGACTCTTCTCTAAAGGAACACGCATAGACTTTGAACCCCATAGCCCAGACGTGCTGTTCAGTCTTTGACAGCTAATGTTATACACATATGTACATAATTCTTTATACTAACATAACATATATTCTGTCTTTAACGTAGACATAGGTTGAGAAAGGATTTGGCAGAGATTATGTCTAATTGTAAGTACATGTGTTTTGTTAATGAGTGTGTTTTCACTGATTGCAGTTTTGTTGATGTGTAGTAGGTGTGTCATTTAGGAATTTTAACCGTTTTAGAAATTGTCGTTACACCTGCAGTGCTCCAGTCTGCTCCTGTCTAGGTCTGGAAGCCTGGGAAATATTCATTTAGCGTGTTTATTCTTTCTTTCCTGTCTTCCGTTATTATATGTGATTGTTGTGTCTGTAAGGTTGTGTAAAATAATAGAATTAATTCAGGTTGTGTAAAATAAAGTGTAAAAGTTTATATGGTCAAACACGGCCGTTCTAGACTTCAGGAAAGCTGTTACCTCTGACACCACCCCCACGGAGTGCATCGCACAGCCAAAACCTCTCCAACAGAGTCTAACAGATTTTCAATCGTCAGCCATTTCCTTGACGGCCCAGGCCTCGCGGTGGCCTCGCGGTGGATGCTGCAGTTCATTTCTGGAGCCACCTCTCTAATTCGTGCAACTACACCGCTGTGTCGGCTTGTCATTGCTCTAGCACCGCCTGCACAAACTCCGACGCGTTTTATCCAGTCGATGCCATTCTCTTCGATAAGCTCATCCAGAAGCTGAAATATGTGCTCTCCTGTAGTTCCTGTTGGTAGCGGCTTACAGAACAGAAAGTCCTCACGGGACGTGCCCTCAAACTCATACCTAATGTAAACGAGCAAATTGGCCAAATCACGACATCTACAGACTCATCTAATTGCAGTGAAAAGCATCTGCTCATCTTAACGCGCTCTATCAGCGTACTTTTGACATCATCCGCCATATCGATAATTCTGCGAGTGACTGTGTCTTTCGAAGGGGCAGCAGGTCGAGCTGTTTAGCAGCTTTTTCTCCACACATAATACGTGTCAGCTCTTTTGCCAACGGTAAATAAGGTTCTTTAAAAATAGTGTGGGGCTTACCTGCTTTAGCAATCCGCAAGTTTGCATTTTCCCCCGTTTCCGTTTCAGGAGTCAATCTCAGAAGTTAAAAGAAGTTTTTATTTCATGCGCATGGGAGTGAAACAGAGACGCTCGGTGTATTTTTCTTAAATTAACTTAGAACAGTTCTTTCCCGTGATTGTCATTGTTCCAAAACCACGCACATTCTCCGACCTCCCTATTTGATTTTTTTAAATACAATTGGTCACTTAAGTTTGTAGCAGGCATTCCTGTACAATGGTATAGAATTACATCGTAGCTCTTGTGTCCACTCGTGAATTAGCGTGCGCTGTATCATAGTACGTAGGCTGCGTACTTGACACATAAACTAATTTCATTAAAATAGAAAATATGAAAACCCGTCCCGATTTTTCAGTGCATACAACAAATTTCCAGGGTCATCCGGCGTACCACCTGGAGGCGCTCTGAGTACCAGCAGCGGGTTCCACTGGGAATCTGTGGAAAGATACTGATCCCATAACTGATCCTGAAGCAGCTTAAGCGAGATGGAGAAACCCGAAGAGTTGAATTCAGGCAGAATAACGGGCAACAATTTCACCAAGCTGGTGTGTAAAGTTGGTGGAGCCTCACCCAAAGCATCCTGTGAGCCTGATGGCTGTCAAACATGATTCCACCACATACTGAGTTCAAGGTTTTAAATACCTACAGTATACAGTCAATGTAGTTGAGTACTTCGCTTCACCCTTTGTTAACATTTGAGGAAGTCATCAGGATGAGAATTCAGGTTTTCAATAAAATATTGTATTGTTTATTTTATTTAGAAATGTGCACCATTTTGTTTATTCACAGAATGCGACCCCATATTGAAGGTTTGCATATTGAATATGTTATAAGGCGCTGAATTTACATTTTTTTGCTGGTTTTGGTCTCTAGTGAAGGTGAGATTTTTTTGTTGCAGTCTTAAAAACCCAAGAAAACATATTTCTTTACAAGTTAAAAGTCTGTCTGATTTCTTTCTTGACTGCCACTGAATTGATCTTGTGCACATGGACCCACTCTTAACCGATACGGTATTTAACCTAACTGAAAATTTGATTTATTGAGAAATTGATTTTTATCTGCAGTTTTTGCTGATAATTAATTTCTTTCACCAATAAAGGTGTTCGTTTTGAGCATTCAAATTTTGTTCTAAACACATGCAATTTAAAACTTACAAAACTAATTTTTAACTGAACAAAATGGTATATTATTGGGTTAAATATATTCGGAAAGCGCTTTACATGTTCAGTTGGTTTAAAATGTCTAGATACATTGTATTACGAATAATGACATACATAATAAACTTGTGTCACCTTCTGTAATAACTGAAACATTTCTGGCACTTTTTTCATCAAGAATTTGTAAAAGGTTAGATTTTTCAGTATGGGTGAGGGCCTTAACACCTTGTTGGCTTTGCTGTGCTGTCTTCAAAACTGAAAAAGAACTGTGTACGTGCTTGTCTCCCATCTCTCACCTCACAGAACTTCAAGAAGAGAAGTATTCCCTGCACGTATATCAACGATGACCTGTCCAGCTCACTCAGAATCAGCCAGATTCAGGCTCCTTGTGCCTGTCACCTCTCTTTCACTCTTACTTGGCCCGACCTGAGCTTCTTCCATAACTGTTTCACATGCTGAGAGCCTGATACCAGCTCACATACTTGTTTCTCCTTTAATTCCACTTTCAGTTTTGTGATGACTCCACACTTCAACCTCATACAGTGAGTCAACCACAAACTGTGAGTCTTAGGAGAAGCTCTGGCCACAATGTGAAGTGTGTACGTGCTCATCTCCAATCTCGCATGTCGCAGAACTTCAAGAAAAGAGGAATTCTGTGCAGCTCTCACTCCTTGTTTCAACATTGGCCTGTCCAACGCACAGAATTAGTCAGATTCAGGACTTAGTAGTTCAGGTGGGGAGCTGCGTCAGCATGCGTAGGCTGCAAAGGAACAAGTAATAGGTTTATTCCATGCTGAAAAAAAGAAGAAAGAGAACACAACGTTTCGGCCGTGGAGCCTTCTTCAGGTGTCAATGAATGCCTTCATCAGGTGTCAATGACACCTGAAGAAGGCTCCACGGCCGAAACGTTGTGTTCTCTTTCTTCTTTTTTTCAGCATGGAATAAACCTATTACAGATTCAGGACTTGTTTCTCTTTTAATTCCACTTCCAATTTTATGTCGGCTTCAGACTTCAACTACAATACAGAGTCAGCGAAACTCCGAGTCTTAGTAAGAGCTCTGACCACAGTGAGACAGAAAGGGAACTGTGTAGGTGCTTGTCTCCCATCTCTCATCTCACAGCGCTTCACATTAGGGACTGTACCTGGCCTTATAACACCAGTATAGACCACTGTAAACACTGACCCAGTGATCACCTACTGGTTCGGCTCTCGTCTCCACACCATGCAGCTCAAGGGCAGCTCGGCTCAGCTGTTCCCAGGCTGCAGACACTCTCTTCCACACTGAGGAAGCTTGAAGGCTCTCTGTAGGCTGACGTGACACAGAGGTCACAGCCACCTTCCAGGAGACACAGAGCTCCACAGGAATACTCACGTCTCCTGTCAGCAGGTATTAGAGAGGCTCTCACTCAGGAATCCCCCCAGTCCCAAATCAATAGGGTGTTCCTCAAGACTCCAGATGCCATCTCTGCTACTCCATGTGGGTACAGACAGACTCTCGCTTTGTGAATAAGTGTCAGGATTCATCCTCAGTTCTCTCAGAGTATCACCTCTCTTGGGCTGGATAGTTTAACCAGCTTGAAGCTGCCTGCCTGTTGTTTCTGTGGCTATACAGGTTAAGCTGTAAAGAGGATTTCTAGAGATTCTACAGATTAGGTCAGGGAACATGACTCCTAATTGCTAAAATTGACTGTTTATATACAATACAGGTGAAATATTACAGCCCTGGAGAAGGAAACTGTTGTTTTTTCTCTCTCACTGTTTATTACTCTTAGAGTCTGACACCAGGTTCTATGGTCGGGGGGAGACTTTATAAAGTCATTATAGAGCATCTTTACTCACTGAGCTACACATTCACTGATGAGGTATGGCAGTAAACCCTCATTTAAACAAACAGGTATTGGGTATTTGAGGCTTCAAGTAATTCTGCAGGCCTCAGTGGTGGTTGTGCAATACAAAAAGCACAAGGAGACAAAAAGTTACTAATACGATTAATTCTGAGGGGATTCATATGCAATAGCAAATAGCAAATGAAAGATGCCCTGTTTCAAACTAAGCTGACAAGACCAGGAGGGAACAGGAGCTGTTTACTTGGAATACTAAAAAGAATTATGAAATGGTGTTTTACTGACAGAACAGATATAGATTTACTGGCAATCAGAATTAATATCACAGTCAAAATTCCAATCCAGTCTGGCCCTACAGTAAGAAGCTGTGGTTAAATTATTGCAGCTGTTAAAGAAGGAGTAGTTTAGTTTTATTAAAACTTCTAGTCATCCTTTGTCTAATGTGCATCTGAATTATTGCCAAGAGGATGTTTGTTATTCAGGAACTTGTTCTTGACACAAAACCATCACTTCAGTTTTAATTGCATATTCATTAGGTTGAAGGCTGTAGGACAAGGTTCACCATGTGACTGTGACATTATTATATAAAAGCTTGTAGCCCCTAGCTGTTCACCAGCTGAACCCTTTCACACTCAAGTAAGTACATTTAATTTCACATAAACTTGACTAATGAAAGAGCAAGAGTTATGCTTTAATAATGAATTTACTAGTGCATGATTTCTGCCTTTTTGACAAGAAAGGTGCACTGAGATCTGAGATCTGTACACTGCCAAAATACTCCAATTGAGTACTGTCTATTAATTAATATGCTGTTAATACTTTTTTTTAAATCAATTTGATCACAACAGTTCAGAGTTCTTGCATTGATACGAAACCAGGGCACCTACAGTATTAAATTGCTGTGTTGGTTATTGTGATTTTACCAATGGATATGCTGTCCAACTACAGAGGTTTACTGTGATCTGCAGTGTTGTGTAACACATGTTAAGAAACTGAGTAAAGAAATTATACATTCAAGTGGAAAATTCTTATTGATCATGTTTCTCTCTTATGTTTGTTTTGGTGCTTTAAAATGCTGCCCTGTGCTTCTGATACATTTCTGATGTTTTCTGTTCTATAAAACATAATCCACATTTTTTAACAGCACACAACAGAAGTAAAACGACAAAAAAGATTAGCTCAGAAGTTTTGAATATCGTCCTGTCTCCAGGCAAGAGACAGATTAAACTTTCAGATACAGTTTCAAATAAGATGTGAGGTGACACCTTTTTGGAAAGTGTGTTTTACAAGTTAGTCCAGTTAATAAGGTGAGGCAGGAGTCTGATCTGAATTTTAAAGGCATGTGTCAATACTTCAGTCACACTGGACAGGTCTGGGGTCTTCACTGAGGCAGTAGTACCAATATTAGTATTAATATTTAGGCCAGAAAGAAGCTGTTGTGAGGTTCCTGTTATGAATTTGACAACACAGGGTCCAGAGTAACAACACGGCTGCAAACATCTCCAGAAATGTCAGTCTTCCTTGTTTTGTGCCTTGTGTCATTTTACTGTTTGAAATGTTTGCTTGCTTGTGAAAGCTTTGCTGTATGTGTGAATAAAAGGTTATTCACTTTTATTGAACATCTTTTGGCTGTTTTGTCTTTGCACTGCAGTCAATTCGAAGCTAAACTGGTCACTTGTAGCTTTGGTGTGTTTTGCAGTTATTCTGCTGGTACCCACCTCCCTGAGCTCCTTCTTCTGGAGTAACAGCACCATGTCTGCAGACAAGAATGACACAATTGAGCTGGCTTCTCTGGGCCGGCCCTTCCAGCTGGGAATGCTGTACGACTGCCGCAGCGACTCCCTCATTCCAGGTAAACATGTCTTATCATCATCTTCGTCAGAAACGTTCCAGGGCAGCTCCTAACCCAGGTCAAAGATCCTCATCACTCACACTGCCTGGATCGGCTACAGATAATTCTTGATTTCATCCTCCCTGTGCTCTTAGTTGGTTAATTGAATTAATTTGTGAGCTGATTGATTTAATGACAACATTTTACAATCTTTAGTCACCACCAAACTTGAATTCCCATAAAATCAGTGGAACTGAAGAGTCAGAGTGACAGGACATGTGCCACTTCTTGCATTTCATGTCTTAACACCAAGGCATACCAGGAACACAAGTCTTCGGGTGTTAAAACACATTTTTAAATTTAAAGCTTGGCATTTCTAAGATAAAAACTCCTGTTGCTTGAGTTTAAACCTCTGCACTTATTCTTCACACCACTGTGTCTATAGAGATGCAATTCGAACATCTTTGGATGTAGGAAGATTCCAAGGCACAATATTTACAAATACGAGGTGTCCAGGTTAAATTCTGGGTCTGGGCTGAAGTTCCCCGTCAACCTATTTAGTGATAGACTGTAGTTCGTCATTATGTAGTGGAGTTAGTTCAGATACGGTGAGGTCAGCGCCCTCCCTGCGCGTAGCAGGGACCTCAGCTGCCTGGGCTGAGGGAGGTCTCCTTTAGCTCACGCTGCTGGTGCCCTGTTGCGTTATGCCAGAGACCTGGGTTCGCGCCCCAGGTGCTGCAGGACGTAACGGGTGGTGGAGGGCATGAGCCCGCTCGGAACCGCGACGATCACAATTACACGTCTGTCACCAAACTAGTGTCACACATCACACAAGTGGGATCTGCACTGCTAGATGGAAGGCGATGTACAAGTACAAGGAATACGAAGAATGTCCAGTATGAAATATTACTTGTGTTGCCTAAGACATACATGTATGCACATTTGTAAATAATTCTTATTTCTTGCAGGTGTCACATTATGGGAGCTGAATAAAATAAAGGAGTCTATTGATGTTCGCTCTCAGCGCAACTCCAATTTCCAAGTCATCACATCGGACTCTATTGAGGAGAAAACCTCATCCTTGGATGTGTCTGCATCTTTGAAAGTGAGTGTTCTGGGTGGAATGATCAGTGTCCAGGGATCTGCTGGCTTTCTGAATGACAATAAATCATCTAAGCACCAGGCCCGCATCACCCTGCACTATCGCACCACCACCAAGTTTGAGCAGCTCACCATGAACCAGCTGGGGCAGCAGAACATTGCCTTCAAGGAGGTGTTCGATCAGGGCACAGCCACACACGTGGTCACAGGGGTGCTTTATGGTGCCCAGGCTTTCTTTGTGTTTGACCGTGAGATCTCCTCTGATGAGACTAAGCAGGGAGTTCAGGGAAGCATGGAGGGAGCAATTAAAATGATGGGTTTGATTGGTGGTGAAGTCAAAGGTTCAGTCAATGTCAACACGAAAACTGATAAAACAGTTGACCAAATCAAGTGCACCTTCTATGGAGATTTCAAGCTGACATCGAACCCTGTGACCTTCCAAGAGGCGATTCAAGTGTACTCAAAGCTTCCCAATTTGCTTGGGCCTGAGGAGGAACACGCAGTGCCCATCAAGGTTTGGCTTTACCCCCTTAAACTTCTGAATGACCAGGCTGCCAGGCTGGTTCGTGAAATCAGTGTGGAGCTGGTGTATCACGCACAAAATATCTTGGAACACCTTGGGCACTGTGAAATGAAGAGCAATGACCTGATGAAAAACGAGGTTGCTAGCAAGTTCCGCCAGATCAAAAGAAAAGCACAACGCTTCAAAGATCTCTGTCGCATTTACAAGCTGACATTCCAGAAGAACCTGGCAGAGGTGCTGCCTCAGATCCGCGGAGGACAACAAGAGGAGAATAAGCTGGCAGATATCTTGAAAAGGAAGGAGGAATCCCCTTTTAAAGACTCCTCTCTTGTTGAATGGCTGGAAAACAAAGAGACAGAGAAAAATGTTGTGAAGGCATATCTGAAACTGATGAAAGACATCAAGGTCATGGTAAACAGGAGCGAGTTGGAGGAGCAAATCTTGGACCCCACAGGGCAGTATGTTCTCTGCTTCGTTTTCACTTCACTGCATGAAGAGGAGCCCTACCTGGAAGAGCTCTTGAAGTTCTTAAGAACTCAGGAATCTGAACTGCATGTCAGAGCAAGCTCACAAGAGCAGTGGTTCAGCAGTGAAACTGTATCCCTGCGCATGAGGGAACTGGCCAAACGGTTCCTGGAATTCTGGAGCTCCAACAACAATAGTAAAAGCAAGTTCCTCATTGCATCTGAGATGGACACTGATCACCGTGGAGTGTCAATCTACCTGTACGAGGAGGGAAGACTTGTCAATAAAGACTTCCATCCCCCTTCTAAGCCTGAGGCCCCATTGGTGGTTGAAAGATCACATAACAGCATCACCCTCAAGCTGACACCACCAGCATATGGTTCAAAGGAAACAGTACAGTATAAAGTGTATTACACAGATTCAGAACAGACCAAGAATGTGTCAGACTTAAAAGAATGGAAATTTGTTGAAACTTGTGAAGTGAAAGAGTGCTTCACGGTTTCGGGTTTGTCTCCACACAAGAAATACATGTTCAGATATGCAGCAGTAACAAAACTAGGAAAGAGCACTGCCAGTGACTCTGTGACTGCCAGCACATTGCCAGCAGGCCCACCCAGAGACTTTGGTGTGCTTGAAGAAGGACACACAAGGATTAAAATAGAATGGGCTAAACCAGAGACTATAGCAGACCAGATTGTGCGTAACTACATAATCGAGTACAAAAAACATGGTACAGAAAAGTGGACCTCAGAAGTGCTGAGGGTGAAGGAAGAGTGCCAGACCATCCCTTTTGAGATGAGAGATCTGACACCAGACACCACCTATTCCATCAGAGTCCTGGCCAGTTGTGGGGATGATGGTATTGGAGCCCCAAGCAAAGTCCTTCAAGCCACTACAAAGAAAATTAGGTATTTAGAAAGGAGTGATTTGCTCAGGAGTGAGGAGCCTGCTCTTTATAAACTTCACCTGCAGGAGCAGACTGTGGATGAGGAGCAGTACACCAGGCTTTGTACTTTGGCACAATTGGAGGATGTGTGTTGTGACGATTCTATGGAGAGAACAATCCTTGTGCTTGGCACCAGGGCCCATTACAAAGCCATGCTGATTAATGCCATGTTCAATTACATCTTGGGTGTGAGCTTCGAAGATGACTACAGATTTGTAGTTACAGACCCAGCCTGTTCTGAAGTTGATTTGGACACTCAGTGGATGACGATTTACAAAATAGTTTGTGAAAAGGGATTTCGTATCCCATACACTCTTACTATAATTGATGCTCCTGCGTACGGAGAATGGCACCAACGGAATTTACTAATTGAGGAGCAAATCAGGACATTCACTGAGAGAACTGAAATTTCTGGTGATCTCAATGCTGTCTGCTTGGTAGTGGAAAATGCCAGTGATAACCCTACAGCTGCACACTGTGTTTTCCACTCTGAGGCGTATCTGAAAAATGAGGATTTTTATGAGGAGGATAAGGAGACATGTGACAGCAGGATGCTCTTTACAACAGAAACTGGTTTTCAATTCTATAAATCTGATAACTTAAAGCATTTCTTTACATTCAGTAGTTCAGGTTTATTTGACATAAACCGAAATGCTGAGGAGAAGAACAAGCAGAAAGAGCTGTGGAAAATGGCACTGGAGAGTATTGGTTTGTTTTTCACTGAGCTAAATGACTTCAAAGATAAACATTTCATTACTTATGGACCACACTGAGCAAATACATCTGTATTTTATGGAAGTGTGTGTATATATATATATGAATGTGGTGTTCTCACCAGTCAAGAGTGCAAAGCTTGTCCTCAGCACTCTCCATAATAATCTCTTATTATTGATACAGACAGGGCTCTGTACAGAAACACACTCCATTGTTATCTCTTATTATTGATAGACAGTGCTCTCTGCAAGACTCCTCTATTATTCTTGTGTTTTTCTCTAGATAAGTGTGACTTATATAAATACATATTTAGTTCTGCAAGTTCTGCTAATCAAGTGAATTTGTGTAGTCCGCTCAAGTCCTACAACCTGCATCCTCTCTGTTCAATAATAAAGTGAGATTTGCTTATTGGAGAGTTTTTGCCTGAGTTTTATCTTGAACATTTCTGAGGTGTCTGAGCTGTGTTGCACCTCATCTCTGGAGCAGATCAATCCCTGTGCTCTGTGAGAGAAGTCTTCAGACTTGAGTGCTACATCATCAGATACTGAAGTGAAGAATAAACTGTGAGAGTTCTGTCTCTGCCTGTCCTCAGTGTGGCTGCAGCTGCACAGCGCCCTCTTGTGTGAGAGCTCTGTCTCTTCCTGGACTGGCCTCAAGGAGAAACAGGAAGTGACCTCACCACAGCACAAATATTTGGTTGCCTTGGCAGCAGCCCACGCACACACTTACTGCTGCTCTTGCAACAGAACCCCGCTATCAGTCCCCCTGTCCCACAGCTCCTGAGAGACTCTACACAGAGATACACACACCCTTCCTGCTGGACAAACGTCTCGATTAAAACTCTTTTCACTCTCTGCCTTTTCTCTCAGGAGTTTCCTTGAAATCAGCGCTGTGTTTGTGCTGTAGTTATACAAACGGAGCCTCAACCCCTCAACACAACAACCCTGTAGGGCCAACAGGCAGAACGTGAGCTCAATCCAGACAGTGGGTGCCAACCTAATCAGCAACTGGTATCTGTGCAGAGGCAAGGAGTCAGTTTAATCTGGCTGGTGATGATCTTCATCATGTGGCAATGGTCACTCAAGACTCTGCTGCCTTCTGGGATCAACATCACTCCCTGGATTGCTTCAATCAGTGATCGACGTTGTGCCCTGACTCACTTTAATCTGGGAAAGGGAGAGAAATAGACTCTGAAACTGGGAGTTTGCTGTAAGACAAGGTATAATACACTGAAACTGTGCAGAGGAGCACAGGAAAACCTAAAGCTTATCTCCTTGCCTCATCTTTTCTGCGCTGGCTATTGACTGTCTGTGTCTGAATCACATTGCAAGAACGTTAAAGAACACTGTCCTGGACTGAGCATGCTGAGCTGGCCTGTGAGCACAGTGACACACCTGGTCACACTGGTGTGCAGCTCAGTGACAGCCTGTGTTCATGCTGAGCAGGACTGTACAAGAGCCCCAGAGCAAGCAGCAGACCACAGGTATGTGGCATGTTTGCCTGCGGCCCACGCGTTCAGCTCAGAGCCTGCCCGGCCCTGTGAGGCTCACATGACTCTCCTGCCCCCTGGAGCCCAGCCGGGCCCCAGACACCTCTCACAGCGGACAGGGCTGATGAGCAGAAACCAGCTGCCCACAGCGCGGTGAGGGACTGACGACTCTCTACAGAACCACAGGCAGGGCTGGGCCAGGCGTCCTCTGACGTCCACTCTTCTGTCCCTTCAAGAAGCTCCTGTCCAGGCTGGACAGACTGGGCACCAGTCTGCATGCACTGATGTCACTGGTGTCCCAGTGGGACACCAGACTAAACTGGTCTGGAGTCTCAGGAGCAGTGATGTGAGCTGTAGCCACTCCTGTAGAGCTGAATAAACACATCCGTGTTTTACTGAAGCTCCTCTGCGTGTGTCTACCCTCCGCTGAAGCCGGTTCTGTCTGTTTCTGTGCAGAATGTGGAATATCTGGATCTGCTGAAAGCAGGTGTAGGGTCCTGCAGCCAGTCCTGACTCTCATGCTGAGAAGAGAGCAGAGCGAAGGGCAGGTCTGTGATGCCAGAGGGAGGAGCACACTGCTCTCTCCTCTTCTCTCAGTGCTGCAGTCTGCACTCCCCACACAGGTGCATCATGGGACTGAGGGCAGGCCTCCCAGCTGGCACTGAGGCCTGGGCTGCCATCCTCAGCACACAGAGGGCATGTCTGTGCCAGCAGGGAGTCTTCCAAACACAACACGCAGCTCCGGAACAGTGGAGATACAGGAAGAGAGAGTTAACATGCAGAGACCTGCTGACAGCTGGAGATACAGGGGTGATAGAGACAGGCTTACCTC